CTATGTTTGTTAAGAACCTGGAATATCTAACCTTTGTGTTCGTACTAATCATTTTACCGAAGTATCAACAGTACTACAGTCGAATTGTTGTAACTTTGAGCGTGGCGTTGGCGTGACAAGCACGAAGTTTATACAATTGCGGTATAAGCGGCTCAGCACGCCCGCAGTAGCCGTAGCTCAATACACGCGTGTTATCTCTAGTTATTTATCACCACAGAGCATGGTTAAAGCCTCCATTCATGGCGGGGCGTCGACCTTAGAGCGACCTTAGAGGGGTGTCAGGGTGTTGGTGGAATAACTGTAGAGTATCGTTTGAGTATATATGGAATATGGATTGGATATTTTCAGGCTTATACAAAATTCGTATTAACTATAGTCAAGAATAATTTCAAACTATACAAAATATAGGTAGGATATTGTCAGGGTATTTACAAAATAGGATAGGGCCTACAATATTGTTGGAATATTTCAAAAATAAGGACACGACAATGTAGTCAGGATTTTTCCAAAATAAAAGGAATAAATCACATCATTGAAAAAAATATTGGTGAAATATTTGCAAATTATTCTCTGTGCAAAATCAGAACATTTCCTAAGTTTTGTTAAAACATTTTCATCGTATTGTCAAAGTCATAATGTTAATAAAACGTTACCAGAACTAATTCATCGTAAATGTGTGTGCTTTTGATAAACTCGGTCTTAATGCAATAAACAAATTGAGGATTTTGAAGATAGCAATAAATAATTACCACAATTTAATATTCAATTAACTGATTGTGTTGTTTCTGAGTAGAGACACTCCGTGATCGCAGGTTTCACTAATGATGTGATGGCGTGAGCTCGCTCGTCGCTCTGTAGCGCGATTTACCTCTTCTTTGCTGATGTGTTTTAAATCTCTGTCACCAACCGCAAGTCTAGTTTATATACATAAACATTATACAGTTATACATTACCAAAAGCTAAAACGAATTCAAATAGAAAATACAGTATTACTGTATAATTACAATATCATATCGTTAGTGTAACAGTTTACACAGGGGTTTTAGACTACACCAATTGATATTCAACCCAAATTTATAAAAGAAAATCGTATTATGGAATAAAATTTGTATAAATCAGTGGGTAAACGGGTTTAATCATATTCGTAGCGTTGACATTTTTATTTCGTACACTTTCTTTAAAATAGGAAATCAAATGAAAAATACGAAATGTGATTCTATTAGAAATTTTAACTTTTCACAAAAGTCTGATACATTTAAAAAAATTACTACTTGTACTAAAAAATTTGCATAACGGGAAACTGTTAAAATGTTAGATCACAGGTTCGTTTATGCGACACTGTTAGGCCAATATTTGCTATTTTTTCACATCCAAAGCTCTTTGATACAGTTTTTTTGCTGCTCTCACCACATGAGGGGGAAATATGCGGGGTGACTTTATAAAGAGTGAAAGTTTATCGGAGTGATTAATAACATTAACGACGCTCCAGAGGACGGGATTATCTGCAGTATGTGATGGAGTTGGGTCGTTACTACTTTTTCAAATTCTTTCTCCGTCTGTGTTACAATTCGTATGACCTAAAAAAAACTTCTAAAAATCGATATTTAAACAATTCTATTGATTATTGTACACACACTTCATAAAACAACGTAACATAACATTTTCCTAAATTGTTATAGAAAAAAAAGCTCTAATTTTATTTATATATCTAAAAGATCAGAAATGCTACCTCATCAAATAGTGATATCATTTAAACTAACACCTTTAATTGATACATTTTAATACTGTATTGTTTTTTTAGAAAGAGTTTACACATACAATACAATCCCTTTAGCAAGACTCAAATGTATTATTTTAACAGTTGTATTGGAATGTTATAATAGTGACCCCTTTCCATTGTGGGGCTGCCAAATGTTCATTGTACTGTAAATTTAATTAATTTGATTAACGCTTGTCCAATTAGAGTAATTGCAATAACCTAACGTTTTGAGGTTCTACAATATGTTTTTCCACAGTCGTATCGTAATTCCAACTTCCCCTATTTCTATTTCCGACCAACCCTCCAGCATGTGTGGTACGTCTGTCACACCCAGGGAGTGGTAGGGGGGGGGGGGGTTTGTCTGGATGTCGGTCTGTATTTATTTGTACGTTGAGTGACGGGAGACAGCCCCCCCCCTCCCCCCGGGATCGATCCCTGTCCCGGGTGGGGGTGTGCTCTCCACTCCATCAATGAGGCTGAAGCTGTAGTCGCGGTCCTGCGTACGTTAACGTTGTACGTTGTTTCCGTGTTGTACACTACCATGGCGTAAATGGTGGAAGTGAGTTCAGTGTAGTGTGGACATTTTGTGGATGGTGATTGGGGATCGGCGTTGTGGAGGTAGGTTTGCTGTTTACTGACGTGGAGATGTATTGCATCTTGTGAGTACATGTTTAATGATTAGTGGTAGGTTTACTGTTATGGATTTATGTCTCAGAATGTTAGTGTGTGAAAAAGGATTTTGTGGACGAAAGAGGATTTGGTTTGCAGTAGTGGAGGTAGGTTTAATGAGGGGAAGATGCATTGGTGCAAGGTGCATTGCCCCTAGTACCTGTACCGTTTAATGATTAGTAGCAGGTTCACTGTTATATATTTACTGTTTCATAACGTTGGTGTGTCGGCGTGAAAATTGTTGTTAGATATTTGGTGCATGGTTGATAGTAGCCTACGAGAGTTTTTCCCGGTGATACGGGTACTGAAGAAGATGTTTTTGTCGGGTGAAAATGCATTGGTGCGTTGGGGTGCATTGCTCCTAATGAACACCTGCACAGTTTTAATTGATGTTAGGTATACAGTTTTGTATACACACCCCTTTGATGTGTGAACAAATGAGTTTTTAATGAAAGATTCAATCATTATTTAAATAATCGGATATCACTGTGGGATGAAAGTATGTACAAATTAATATCACTAGTACAGTAGTATGCTTAGTAAAATATTCTTAAAAGATAAACACAATTAATACAAATTCTTCATTAATGGTGATAGAGCTAGGCTATTACTGTAATTCTGTATTTTGTGTTGAACAAAAAAATGATAAAGCATTTGATTCGTCTATATATTAATAGGGAAGCATGTTTCTTTAAAACCTTTTTTCTCAGCTCGTGTGCATCGCAGGGAAAATCTACGCATACTGTTAGAAAGATATTTTCCCGTAGATGTGCAGAATCCCTTTATAAATTAAAATAGGCTCAAAAAAAGCACAACAAATGAATTTGAATACTTCAAAAAACTAACATGAGCCTTATGGGTTGCCATGATGGTGACGAAATATAGACAGAAAATCAAACAAATTCCAATCACATGTTTTATTTACAGTGTGGGGTTTACACTGTACATTACATAGTGTATGAAACAGCCACGTGGCCCTAAATTTGCTTGAATAAATAAAGGATTTTTCATTTCTTTTAATTTACATATTCTTTGTCGTGTTTTCGACCTCTGGACGACTTTTAGTATGCATTATTGAACTGACTATGTATTCTGGCATATTGTGGATTTCGGTTCTACTACACGCTCAAAACATGGTAGATTATGTGATATTACAGTTAATTTTGAGTATTTAAAAACTTGTAGCCACATAAATATCTTTGAACAAAACAATAAAATTTCTGAAGTCCGCACTAGTCGTCTCAGTTATGTTTTGACCTCACACAACGTGGTTTCTGGAAAGTCTCCCTCGCCTGGACGCCCACAAGTCCAAGACTACAATAGAGTTTTGGAAGTTTTTGTAGAGGTGAACGACTCTTCGACTCTTGCCCTTAACCCTTATAACTCTCTCTTGAGGGCTATAACTCAGCTCTGTTGGGGGGGGGGGGGCTGATGTTGGTAACAGATGCGCTTTATATTAATCCTGTAATGTCACGGAAAAAGGAATATTTTCCACTGTCTGTTTTCTGATATATTTATACTCTTTGGGGGCTCCAACATTTTGTTTAGGTAGATTTGCAGCTTTAAATACTCATTATTCGATGGATTTTTGTAGAATCTAAGATCATTTGTTAAACAGTAAGTGAGCACCGAGTAGTGAAATATGGCTGAAGGAGACAGTGGCTAGGTTGATTAATGTCCAGGAGTGGTGCAGCAATACAGATGGTCAACATGTGTTGGATGCAGGCTTCGAAAATACACTCCCTGTTTACAAATATAGACCCTGCGTTATCACCCATTGTTTAAAAGGACTAATCTTAATCTAAATCCAATTTAGATTTTTAGTGTGAAAAACTCATATTAGTTACATTTCCGCAAATAAGGCCAGAAAGCACAGACTTTTCAACTTAAAGGAAAGACTCACTATAAACAAGACATTTCATGAACAGTTTCTGTTTGTTTGTTATTATCACCCTTACAACAGATTCTGATGTAACCTAGTTATTATATGACCGGAGCATCTAATTTAATCGCCTCTCTAGGAGTACAGTACTGCCATTAAAGTTTTACTCCAACGCAAATAGGGTAGTCAGAAAACACTTACTTCTCAACTTACTTTATTAGAAAGACACACATACAACAAGGTATTTCCATGAGGGTTCTGTTCTTACAAAAGATTCTGATAAATAACCTTGTCATTCTATGACCAGAGTTTGGGCCTCAGTGAGTTACAAGAATTCCGTATTGTGTTCTGTATGAGTAAAGCTCGGTCTCCAGGTATCATATTGTTTCTGATATGTTTTTTGTATTGTCACTCTGAGTACAGCTCACTCCCCAATGTATTTGTTGGGCACAGACAGTGTTGCTGTGTTGTATTGTCAAGTTTTGTCTATGTGCCAAGCTCGGTCCCCCCTGCAGTATTTCTGATATCGTGTTGTATTATCACTCTGAGCGCGCACAGCTCGCTTCCCAATGTATTTGTCACAGTGTTGCTGTGTTGTGTTGTGTGTATTGAGTTGTGTAGACAAGTGTTGCCTATGTGCCAAGCTCGGTCCCCAGTACAGTGTTGCTGATGTGTTGTGTTGTGTTGCAGGGGCTGGAGAGAGGAGGCCCCATGAGGCCGCTGTCCTCGGATCTCAAGCTGTCCTCGGATCTCAACCCACCTCGCATTGACAGTTACCGCTTCTCTATGGCCAACTTAGAGGGTGAGTTTAATTTCTTGTATTTAAACTAAAATTAATTCCTGTCATGATTGTTACTGCTGAATAGCCCCCTTCTTAGTTCCAATGTCTGGATTAACCAACCTAAAAATGCAAAGGACTTTTGGATAATGCTGCAGAATAATTTGGCAACTCAAATATTTTTTTATATTTTTAATGAAGTGGTTTAAAAACTAACAGTCACAACCATTTTCTTGGTTAAAATTTGAAACAAGTAGCTTATCACTTGCTCACAGACTATTTAGAAATAAAGTTAACTTCAAAATGACAACATGAGGTTAACTGTGATAAGTCAACCAACATTCTGAATATGTAACCAAATATTTGCTTCTTACCCCCTGTCAGCATCTAGTAACAGCAATACACTTGATCTTGTGTGGAAATTAAAAACAAGTTTACCGTACTGTAATTTTTATTTTGAGACATCTAAGTTTATTTGCTGATAAGTGTTTTCTGCCCTAAAACATTTAGAACTGTTTAACTTTAAAAGTTACAATACATATGCTTTCTAATTATTTGGGCTTCAGTATGAAAACAATCTTCAGAATTAAACTGCAAATAAAACAGTTTTATTTAGGTCAAACTGTCATATAACTGCATAAATGACATCAGTAACTGCACCAAATGATTTAACACATTGACGTCAGTAAATGAGGTCATATCTCGTACAAGCCCCTTACCTGGGTGTGTTTTAAGGCCATTTACTTTCTTCAATTGAAAACCTCTCTCTTTTGCTTGCCATTTTAAGATCAGTTCGAAATCAAATTTAGTTTTAGCAATAATTCAAACAAAGTACAGTATAAAATTATTTATCTTCATTTTTTTTATTTATACAACATTAACACTTATAAAAGTGAAATGTTAAATTGCTGTAGATCAATTTGAAGATTGATTAATCCAATTATCGAGTAAACATAATTTACTTGTACCCTTGTTCGCTACCCTCCCTAATCCATTGTCATATTTCATCCCTTTTGACCTTTCAGAGATTTATATGGTCAAAGAAAGGTCCCTTTATGAATACATTTGGTATTCAATGGTTGTAACAAAGCACCCTATATTTAAATTTGCACCCCTCCCTGTGACCCTTGATTCAATTCCATATTGTTTCTTTGCTCCTTTCAATTCTTTAGGTAAACAATGTTATATTTTAACTTCTTTGAAGCAGTTTCTCCTCTTTCTGAAATTGTTTTCACTACAAGTTCTTGCTTGTGTTTGAACTCTTAACAGATTTATTGTGTCGTGTGTTTGAATATAAAGATTCTGTGATTTTCCATACAGTAAAAAATTTATCCATTATCCAGAACACGGTCAGGGTTTTGGCAAATGTTTACTTAAATATTCATCAGACTTCAGATAATAATACTTATCACTTACTATAATAACTTATTATTATAATTTTACTAAAAACACTACTTCCAATAAAAATCAACTATTTAAATCAAATAATATTCAATGAATTTTTTATATTAATGAAAATTATTAGTTATTGCAAGTTAAAAGAAAATATATAAATAACCAATACTATTATATTTTATAGTAACATCTCTTCATAATCATGATTTAACAAGATAGTGTATGGATTTTAGTAGTAGTTACACAATTCTTCTGTATTTTTAGACTTTTTAAACTACTTTGCGAATGCGAATGGCATATTTTACTCTTTTCTTTCAAATATTTCATCTGGTATGTTTTCCACGTTCCAAAACACATAAAACGTATGCATCTGTGTGCTACATAACCTGATTTGAGATCACTGAATGTATTGACCTTGATTTATAGAAGGGACTGGAAATTCCAGATATTTTTGATTGTCTATTATTTTGTCACTAAATAGTTTCGAGTAACCAATGTTAGTAACCAAAATTCCACCATTCTTTTCAGTTAGTTTCTGAAAATCCTTCAAAAAAGCTGTAGAGTCGGTTCGATGAACTGGTATACACAATGTTTGAGGTCATCGCTTCTGCATCTAAGTGTTGGACTGTCATGTAAATGCCTTCATTTTCCACTCTGCCGCAATGAGTGTGGCCAGTTAACCAGAGTATGATGACAGTAGCGAGGCTGGTATTTGGCAATTGTCTGATGGGTAGTTGTGGTACCGTGAGACATGCCACTGCCACTGGTCATCTACAATCTACATAGCTGGGAGCGTGGGAGAGCCTCATTGCCAGTCAAGGCCAGTCACTGGGCTAATGAACGATTGTCCGCCACCGCTACCACCACAGACTGAACGCTAATTGTTGGAAAATTCTGTTACTTCTTTAGCAAATGATTTTGTAATCAGTATACATTTTTGGACATAGTAAGTGGTTGAAAGAGAGCTTAAGGTGTGAATTAGTTTCACATACACATATACACATATATACATACATCATACACTCATCTCCATTCATACTTGGCTTAAAATACCTACTTTGTATGGTCGCCATTTCAAAGAAAAGTATTAAAGTTTTTGCAGTAATTGGAAAAAACAAATTGTTCTTTCAGATCTGCTTTGGGTTGTTACCTATTATAAAATGCTTATAAGTCTGATGAAATGAATCAATAGTAGGCTCATTTGTTGATGAGTTATTCGCTAATAGACTATAGGGATATATTCACATCACCTGGTAGCCGTGTGGTTATAGTGCTCGCCTAACAATCAAAAGGTCGCCAGTTCGATCCTGAGAAAAGTCAGTAGCTTTTTGATGGTTTGAAACTGGACCCAGCTGTTTTTGATCATTGGGCTTTAAGTAAACGATCCTGGCTAATGAAACAGCTACTACACAGATCATCTCAGCATTCTACACTCACCCATTCAATACGTACCTAGGTGGCGTCCCCATCTCAATGATTAATACAAATAATTGATAAAATAATCCTAACAGACCTCTTGGGTCTGAGTGTATAAGGAGTACACAATTAATCATCTTAAAACTCTTGAATAACCTTCTTCTAATTAAAAATAAAATAGAGTCTGTTACCTCAAACAAAGTTAGGTACACATTTCAGCTTAGGTGATTTCACTTAGGCAGTAATAAGAACCAGGATAAGAACTCTATCTTTCTTCAATTAATTCTACAAATTGCATCACAATAATGTTCAGCTGTTAATAGAGATAGACAAGTGATGAGAAGTTTAATTCCAACTTTTTAGGTTGCTTTCACATTAAGTTCACCAATTGGAGTAGAGTGGATCTTGAATACAGTGAGATTTTTATTGTGGTAGACAGTTATTAAGAAGTAAAAGAAATATCTCAGGTTGATTTTTAACCGCTTTCAGGTCTATACATGTACATTTGATACATTGCATTCAGTGTTTTCTAGTGATAGGATTCTTATGAGAAGTATAAATCAATCAACTGAAAGTCTCAGGTTGCTTTTCGCATTGTGTTCTGCAGTTTCATCTGGATGCTGAGCAGTCAGTTCGGTTTTCGAGAGGTAGAAAATCAATCATTTCCCAGTTCTGGGATTGCTTTCCCATTGTTGAAGTATGGATTCCTCAGACATTATCCTGGAAGAGTCAGTTGAGAGGAATCAATCAAGGAGCTGGGCTGAGGGGAGATTGTATGACTCATGCCAGACTCTCCCTTCCCCCTAATGGTCTCCCTCCCTCTCCAGAATGTCTATTGTTAGTCCCTTACTGCCCTTCCTGATCACTCAAATGTTCCTCAGATTTCCCCTGTAGAACTTGGCTTAGCCAGAAATGTTATGATGGATTATAGCTAGGAAGATAGGATGGTAAATTTTAGTTAAGTTTTTAGAAGAGGTGCATTTTTGTGATTCCACTTTTGCTTAAATAATGTTGAATTTAAATTAATAATAGTGGTTGCAATTACACAATTTACATTTTAAAATGTGACTTATTAGCAATAGAAAAATACAATTCAAAAATGTTCTTCCTTGATAGTTTTTTTTTAATCGAAAATCAGATTTAATCAATTTATATATTTGGTGTTTGGTTTCCAAATAATAAAAATAGGGTTTGAAAATAATTAGAATAACACATTTAATTACCTCTTAAAATGCATAATATATTTTGTAAATTCTATTTGCTTTAGGAATTTCTACAACTTTAAACATCTAGAAAACCCTTGTTCACAGTTGCAGTTAAACACATAAGATTTAAATATGTTTATTTTGATTCTCTTATTAAGTGCAGTAGTTTGATAATCTGAGTACTGTCTTTTTTTATTTTTATTTTTAACCCTCCAAGTGTCCATAGTTTAGACCTTAATGTCCACCTATTTTTGGCGCATTTGCAAGGTTTTATTAAAACGGATCTGAGAAGCTTAAAACAATGTTAATTCTAATGTTCTATATACCATTTTGTTTGGAAAATCATGGGCTTCAATATTATATATAAAACATAAGGAACATTTTTTCAAAAAAAAAATTTTTAGGTAAAAAAAATATAATTTCGAAAATTAAAAAAAAAAAAAAAAGTTCGCGCTCAATGAAATTTTATAAATTATAGGCCTACAAATATTTGAAAATAGCCACTTTGTTCTAAATTTTATGAGGATTACAAATATATAATAATATAAGGAAGTAGATTTGCAAATAAATAAGTTATGGGCAAAAAACAGATTTCAGTACATAGTGTTTAGCTAAGAATGCATAGCCTAACCATAGCTAGGAATCTGGCTGATAATTTACATCAATATCACTACCTACTTCTTCAGGATCATCAACCAGCACTTCAAAACCACTTAAATCTTCTTATAATGCAACACGTATATCACTACTTTTGATTTTTAATACTAAAACAATGATAAACGTAATAAAACACATCAGTCATCAGTCCGAGGGTAACCTAGCTGTTTACAAATACACGCACACGCACGTCAGCTGTCTGCTACAATTAATTACGATCGGCTCAGAGAAAAAAAAGCGCTGAGACAGACCTCTGGAGAAAGCTTAGAATATTACGGAAAGAACGATACCTAACTCGATCCAGTTCAATCCGATTCAGTCAGTCATAGAGCCTTCGCCGTAAACGATGTCTGCTTGTCGAAAAATCGACAAGTAACACTACACAAAGTGAGCTGCTTGTCGAATTTTCGTCAAGTAACACTGGGAGGGTTAAAGAGGTTGGCAGCCTTTTTTAACCTTGCATTTGCCCGTCCATAATATAGACTACAGATGTGTACGTACATGTTATGTATCCAGCGTGAGCCGGTATAGTGCAAAGGTGAACTGTACTGATCAAATGTTTGCGGCAGTAACCAGGATCCGAACCCACGACATCGCTGCCTTGGGCCCAAAGTCCATGACGCTACCGACTGAGCCACCAAATCTCCTATTTGTAAACACATTCCACTTCTAAGATGTATCGGCGTTCGTCTGTAACAGTTTCTCGGTTCTCTAATAGACAGTTTCTTAGTTTGTAAAATTTCCACCATTGCTATGCTTTTAGTACTTTGGGATGAAATAGTAAGGGAATACAGAAAACACAATGCTAATTCACAATTAGTTGAAAGGACCCTCTGCTCCTTTGCTTTCTAACTGTTTAGGGAGACAAACACTATACGTCAGAAGCAGGCTTGCGGTTTGAATATGATGTGCTACGGACCCGAGGAATAATTGCGCATCTCTTCACCTAGCTTGTGCTTGTGTGCGGGAATTTTTCCCTCCCTTGCGCCCCAAACAAACCTAAAACCTCTAGAGCGCCTGGGCCAACGGGGCCCATTTATCACAGAGGACCTGGTCAGATGGTAATGCTTACAGTTATTGTGTAATGTAAAGGTGTTTGTATGTTGCAGACAGCCAAGATGTTGACCTGGACGCCATCCTGGGCGAACTGTGTGCGTTGGAGTCTCAATATGATGCAGCTCTCCAGGCCACCTGTATACCTACCAAGACTGGTACGTTGACATCACCCTGACTAAAACACTAAAGTACTTGTTATTATTAGCAGAGCTGCAAATGGTGTCGTTCTGTTCACCAATTATGCAAGTGAGGGGCAAACTGCCTCGTGGTGTTTTTTGTGAACTCTGGAGCTACTCACAAAAATGGCCTTTACTTGAAAAAAAGCCTTTTGTAGTTTAAATACGGGAGCTGGTCTAGTGGTTAGAGCTTCTCAGAGGTTTGGGTCCAAGAGTGTATGCAAACAGTGATTCTGATCCAACTTCAAAATTGTGTTGGTGGTTTACCAATCTTGGGAACAAAGAAAAGCAAAAGGGCATAAGTGGCGTAATGGGGTGATCAGGGTGATCAATCAAGAAAGCATACTAATTAAAAATAAATAAAATTTTAATGTTTTAAAATACTACTGGTTATAGATGACTTTGGAAAGAAACCAAGGAAGATTGATTTTGTTATATAGGTCTAAGCTTTGAACAAAAACTGTACACATTCAAAAAATATTGTGTATTACTGCTTGGGAAGTTATTTTTGCAATCCAACATAATCTATATTCATATCAGTTAATTGTTCATAAGTGCTACAACATAAAACAAAAAAAAAAGACAATAAAGTCGCTAAAGTCACACTTTTAAGAGACATTTTTAAATTGTTTAAGTGAACCAATTAGCCAATGTGTATTTGTTTTAATCTTGCTGAAGTAAATGTCGGTCAAAAGAGAGGGCCAGTGTTTAATATCGGATATTTGTTTTGTTTGTTAAATCCTACTGAAATATTTAAGTTTATTTAAAAACTCGATTCAGTGGCGCTTGACACTGATATTTGGAAAGTACGAAGGCGCCGAGCCAATGTGACTCAGGGATTCTTCCAAAGTTGAAACAGAGTCTGGCTTGATCCTGAGCCAAGCTGAATGATTGATAAATCTTTGTCCACTCTTTTGGGAAATCTGTTTATATTTTTATCCAGAAAACTATACTTTAATTCTGAACTTAATCTTTGAATTATAAGTAGAATTTTGTTTGATTATTTTTCCTTTTGAAGGCACACTGATGTTTAAGGACAAGACTTGAATTTCCAATTCTTATGTAAAAAGTGGTATTGGGGGAACTTTAATTCTTATGACTGGAATATTATGTAGAATCCAAAATATACCAACAAAAATATAGGTAGTATTGATAAAAAAAATAATTTGTAGATGGGGTTTATAGTTAAATAATTATTGATTTTAAATATAACAACATAATAGTGTAGCCAGAGATATCACACAAATGATGTTTAGGCGTAGGTTATTTGCAGTTGGTTGTCAAAGTCTCAAATGACAGCTTGGATGGGTTACTTTTATAAGGAAGTAGCTGTCACAAGAGTAGAGAATAGTTTATAAACATTGACATCAGGTTTGACTGTCACTTTCATAACATCCTCTTTGACTCAGTTCATAAACAATATGTATCCTGATCACTTAATGTTTAATTCCTTGATACAAGTAAAGCTTTAACGTTTTACTAGAATGAGATTTTTGTGCTTAAAATACTGTGTTCCCACAACCAAAATTAAATTAACAAGATATAACATGATAAAATGCAAGAGGACTAAAATGGAGGAAAAACTGGTATTTGAACATCAATCAAGTACAAATAATAACAAACACAGTGAAAAATAACACTAACAGTAATACTTTGTATGGATTCCAGTTCTAATTTAATATTGCAATACAATTTGTTGTACGAGTACTTGTTTTAATCATGTTTCATGGAAATGATCCTGTTCACACCATAAAACACTTCATATTAAAGCATTGTATTACATGGAGATAAGGTAACTGTATATAAGTTAAGGATGAGTGTAGAATAGAATTAGATGATCTGTGTGAATGTTTTACTACTTATAATCAAACTATTTTAAAAGCCTAATATCAAGGACAGTCGGGGTCCAGTTTTGAACCAACATGAAGCTAAATCTATCTCAGGGTAAAACTGTAGTAGGCTAGACGAGCACTATAACCAATCAGATGTCCAGAAATGAGAATTAAACAGTTGAATCTCACTTTTGTAGAGCCAGAAGTAGTTCACCGCCGCACCATGTCCGATGTGAGCCAGACGACGGGTGCTGTACAACGCACGGACAGTCCAGACAACGACTCTGCCTTCTCTGATAGTGTATCACTCTTGTCCAGTGAGAGCTCTGCGTCTAGCGGAAGAAATGAGACTCATTCACAGGTATTGTGATAAAGTAACTCAGTATGGCATGAAATTGTTATCGGTGTATAAAATGCATTGAATCAATGAATGGTTTGTAGGAATATTAGCCATATATATAAGCCAGTAGACTCAATACTGCATATTTGTATTTACTTTGCATTTACAATCTGTGTTATTACTGTAATTGTATTACTCTTCTTACTGGAGAAATTCGAGGTCTTAATGTCCAGTTCTTTGATGTAAACTTTAAATATTTTAGGAATCAATAAAGGGATAAAAGCCCTTTAAGTTGTACTTTAAAAAATCTTCTCTACAAATAACCATATATTATAATTGGTTTTCAGCTACCGGTTTCTACTTTAAATTCTGATTTACACTAATATTATGAGACTAGTATGTCAAACAATATGAAATTTAATACCAAAGCTTAACTATGTAAAAAATAAAAATCAATTTGTTTGTGTTTATGCATTTAAAAACTCACGTTCAGGTCATGGCAGATTACTTTACTACCCTTTCCATTGTTTAATCGCTAAATAATAACAGATGGAGAATGGTGGAACGGATGGGAAAGCGGAGAAGATCCGGCTGGCCTTGCAGAAGATGAAGGAGGCTTCTGTGAAGAAGTTGTTCATCAAGGTGTTCAGTGGAGACGGCTCGGCCAAGAGTCTGATGGTAGATGAGACGATGACGTGTGGCTACGTGACCAGAGTGTTGGCGGACAAGAACCATCAGGTGGTGGGGCCGCAGTGGGCGCTGATGGAGCATCTACCTGACCTGCACTTAGGTCAGTACACTAGAAAATATTCTAAATTGAAGATCTGTTCTGTTATAATGTTGATTCAAGAGCAAGGGTATTGTATTGGTCATATCACCAAAGTTCTTAACAAGAAGTGGAATCCAAGTAGTATAGAATGTTCTTACATTTACACAGATTATCTTACATTCTTAGAGTCAGTGCTTGATTTGCGGCGGAACGGCGTTCCAGTTTTTTTCTGTTGGAAAGATAAATACATGGTGTTGATAAAAGAATGCCGTGATTTAAAATGGTAATTGCTCGGATACTATTCAAGGTAACTAAATGTTTTATATGTCAAATTGAAGCTAAAATAACTAAGTTTTGTTTCCCTTGTAGCAACGGAGGAAACTTTGACCTTGGCATGCGCAAAACAGGTGTGGGGTTGTAGGCCGCTATTGCGACTCACGCGCCTGACGCCAGTCACCAGTACAATGTTTACGGTGCAATAGTAGGCACAGAGTTTATATCGATCGCTAAATTAACCTAAATTTAAATTTACTTGATGATAAAGAAATTTGACGCTGGCTTAATGAGTTTCGTGGAACCGTAGTGTTTTGAAAAGACATTCACTTGGCTGGCTAAAAACAAGCGATGACATAGTAGAGAAATCCGTCAATTATGCACCAGAAGCCCCCAAAAAATTGATTGCCCGACAAAGTCTTTAGTTGAACATACCTAAATCAACACTTTATGATGTTTTCTGTAAAAGAAATAGTCTTTGTGCCTAAAAAGAGTCAGTTAAGACATCAGATAAACCCGACGATCGCGTACGGACTTAGCCAGTTTTACACTCATATAAGATTGATCAAAATCTGAATTTTATCAAATTATTCTGAACTGTATCAAAGTATGAAAAAAACTTTGTTATTTTCCCTTCAGTTTGACGTTTAAATAATTTTATTATCTTGAATAGTCCCAGAGCAATGACTATTTAAAATCCTGACATTCTTTTATAAACACCCTGTATATAGGCATAAATAGGTACTAATCACAGTAAATAGGTCACAGTTCCGGCACCTCATTTTTTACAAATCGAGCACTGCTTGGAGTCAAGACGAGACTTTATGCTGGTGTTCCATCCACTTTAACCTTTAATGTACAGTATTTCAATCAACCACAGTCCACAATCATTATGTATGTAGACATTATCAAATCAAGATTATCTGTAAATTTGATTTCATTAAACATTAAAAAAAGATATTAAGTGAGAAGGAAACCCAATTCAAAGGTTATTTAATTTTTTGTAATTTTAAAGAGATTGTCATTCAAAACAAAAGTAGTTTACTCTAAACTGATACCACTTTTAGAAAATGAACTTAGGTCAGTGATTGCTGTTATCTGTCATTGTCAAGTTCACAGATTGTTTTTGAACCAACAAATAATACTAAAATAAGATGTTATGACTTTTAAAATTTTCCAGTTCATCATTGATTATTAAAATCTCTCCTGGGCGTCCTGATAAGCCTCCTCCGTTTCAGTATCTCTAGATAAATCCCTTCCTGTTCCACTTTGTGTAGATGTGTTTCTTTCATCATTACATTCTTGTGCCTTTCGTTTGCAAACCTGCAGCTCTCCATCGCCCTTTTTCACAATTTTTTCACCCAGATTCTTGCCACCTTTTGTACCATTTTCTAGGCTCTCTGATAGTGCAATAATAAAAATAATTGACTGATACCATTAGTTTACCATTTTTGGAAATTTAATTGTTGAGGGAAATTAGCTAAAGACTTGTATGTATAATGCTTATACCTTTTGTTATATTACAGAACGAGTGTACGAAGACCACGAGCAACTAGTAGACAACTTGATGATCTGGACACGAGACTCAAAGAACCGGTTGTTGTTTGTAAAGCGACCGGAACGGACAATGTTGTTTGAACAACCAGAACTCCTCAGCGGACCAAACTCCATGACTCGGGGAGACAATGTGGACGAGTGCAGTCGGAACAACATGATCGAGGTTTGTAGTGACGTAATAGTGTAAATGTACCTATTTATTTTATTAGTTTTTTTGCAACAATTTGTTTTTACATAAAAGTATATTGTTCAAAGTGAAACTTAGTGTTTCTACAGAAATGTTGTAATGTATTGCAAGTTAATTATCAGAGTCAAGAGTGTGTTCTGAGTATCACAGTTAAGAAACATGCAAACAACAGGTAAAATTTTACTCTTAAGTAATCTTTACTCCATTTAACTACAAACTACTGGTTATTTCTATGTCCGTTCAATGGTTAATATAATAATAACATTGCCGTGTATTGGTTTATAAAATATTTTTTTTATTCACATCCCTTGAAAATCTAAATTATAACATGCCTTCATATTTATATTGCTATTATGTGGTTTTAATATTCAACAAATATTTTTACAAGTAAGAATGTTCATCAAAGTACCTAGTACTTTAGAAACTGAAGTATGTACTTGAGTCACACGCCTTTTACTTATAGGATAATTTAATATGATTAAACATAGTAACAAGTTGTGTATGTTGTGCAGGAGCTGTTCTCGGGCTCTTGTGTGCCGAGCATGGAGGGGCCTCTGTATGTCAAGAGTGACTCCAAGAAGGGTTGGAAGAAACACCACTGCATCCTGAGGGCCTCCGGACTCTACTATCTGCCCAAGGACAAAGTCAAGACCTCGTACAAGGACCTTGTCTGTCTGGCTACGTTTGACGTCAACCAGGTAGGAACATCAATTGTAATGAAGATCATTTTAAGTTTTCTCAGGATAAATTTATGTCCTTAGACACTAGACACGAGCCCGGATTGTGGCTATGAGTTACTATTACAGTTCTTAATTTAGATCTGAATGCCCTTTGCTTTGAAATACTCAATTGCTCTTGGGCATACAATGTAACACATAACAACAAAAACATTTTCAAACTCTCTAAAAAACTAAATTATAATCATCAATCATAAAAATTTCCTGTAAGCTATGTGTGGTAAAAAATGTTATTTTCACACACGAAGTAAACATGACCTTGCCCACAGGTTTATTACGGTGTCGGGTGGCGCAAGAAGTATAAGGCTCCGACAGAGTTCTGCTTTGCTCTGAAACATCCGAGTCTGCAGCAACCAAAGAGTTGCAAGTTTATAAAGTTCCTGTGTGCTGAGGATCAACAGACCATGCATCAGTGGGTGCTGGCCATCCGCATGGCCAAGGTAAGCATTGAAAACTATCGGCTGAGAATAACAACTTTTTTCTGTTTAGGTAATAAAGGGTGTCCCAATAAGAACGCGGTATTTGAAATGTTCAATTCAATTCAATTTATTTATTCAATAACAACACAATGACAAAAGGACATTATAACACTAAGCTACATAAGCCTCATAAAAGGCTTGTCCATTTGCATTTCTTGATTTCACTCGCATGTCTTTTACATGCATCTCGTTGAGTCATCCATAATTTGTTGATTGATATTTATGTTGATGTTGATTTAATTGATATAATATAATGTTAACAAACTATATCATCACGCTAAATTTACAATATGAAACATGAATCTTAAAGCATAGTATCTCTGATTAGTAATGGAATATTATGTCTTGTAAGTGCCCAACCTGCTGCCTGCTGACAAGCCCGAAATCTCTTGACAAAGTTTTAAATTACTTTTCACACACATCACGTTGAATTCCATTAATGGCACGAATAATTTCCTCCTTCAGATCTTGGATTGTTTGAGGATTATTGGCGAAAACAAGTGACTTTAAATATCGCCAAAGAAAGTAGTCACACGGTGTTAAATCACACGATTTTGCTGGCCAGTTCTGATCACCATGTTTTGAAATTACACATCCTGGGAATCGTTTGTGCAGCAAATTAATTGAATCTCGAGCAGTAAGGCATATGCCGTCCTGTTGAAATCACATGTTTTCCAGGTCTATCTCCTCAATCTGGGGCCAGAGAAGCTCTCGTATCATTTCCCTGTAACGTTCATCATTTACAGTCAAAGCGTTTTCATCCCCGTTTTCAAAGAAGTATGGACTCCATTTGCCCAAAACTCACACCAAACTGTAACATGCGGAGGATATAACGGGTTTTCTGCGATGAGTCGAGGATTTTCAGTTCCCCAAATTCTACAGTTTTGCTTATTTACATAACCGCTTAGATGAAAGTGTGCATTGCTGGACAGCAAAGTACCAATTCCTTTGAACTTAGAAATACATTTTTGGGCAGATGACTCATTTGGTGAATTGTCCAAACCGAAAATAGCGTGCAGCTTCCGCACCTTTTCAGCGAAACATTCCCCGTACTTGTAGTGCACTTTAACAATGACCACGCATTGATCCGTCGTGTACTGTCTCACACAACTACTTCTTAAAAGTTGGCGCCAGCTGGTCCATATAGATGGGTTGTCTACTTCAGTATCTAGTAGGCAATGATAGCTTGGTCTTTACAGTAGCAATATGCAATTTGAAAATTTGTTGAGCCGGAAGGAGCAAATTTGTAAAATTGTTCTTTAAACACAATAACAAAGAAGTAGATTACAACAGACATTTTTACATATTTTTGGTTTTTATGACTTTTGGCCAGATATTTTAAGTTAAGTTGTCATAGGTTTGATAAATAAGCTTGCAAGACACACATGTATAATAAATTACAAAACAAATATTATAAATATTTATACTGGATGATTGAACATTTTAAATTCTAGGATAATCTGCCAAAATAATCCAATATAACTTTTGAAAGTTAAAAGTTTAATTGTAATTGGTTACCAACAATAATGACACAAATCATTTTATTAACTCAACCATTTACCAAAGTAAGAGTGTAATGAATTGTTTGGTTTTGTTTTAGCATGGCAGACAACTGTTGGTCAACTACCGGTCTATACTGGAGGAGAGTAGGTTGCCGAACCCCGAGACTACAACACTCAACCACAACTTGACCAACGCACGACATAGCACCATCTCAGCCACAAGCAGTCTGCTCGATACCACTTCTGAGTCTGGCTCTAGCGGCTGTGACGTCGCCTTTGAGTCTGACTTCCCCTGCGGCACAATCAAGCGGAAACCACCCAAACTACCGTTAACTGCCACAACTCGCCAACTGAAGGAGATTGCTGTTGGAAATGCGACTAAACATATTGATAGGGCTCCTAGTTTCGAGTCGCTTCCGCCACCGCCTCCGGAGGTGTTGGAGAATTTCGTCCACGTAGATGAGGACCTTCCCCCGCCCCCACCGCCTCCTAGGCTAGCCCCGCCTTCTGCTGCGTTCCTACAAGACCTGCAGAGGGTGATGAGGCGCAAGTGGCAGGTAGCACAGAAGTGTAAATTGGACACAACAACAACCCCTCATGAGGTCCTCGGCTTCAGAGACCCACCTGACTACAAGGAGACTAACGTCAGCAACTGGGTCAACGAGCACTACGGGAAACAAAACCTGTACGAGAATGTCTACAGGCAAGGCGGGGCTATCCAAATAGCTCCTAATATTCAAATAGCACCGGTAAAAAAGAGGCCGCCTCCGCCTCCTCCCCCGCGGTCAGAAACCACACAACTGACGACACGGACCCCGCAAAAGTGCTGACAAACTTGTCACCCCCCTCCTAATGGTGCTAATAGTTCTACTGGGAAAAAGCTTGGAATAATCGTAAGTATTGTACCTTCACTTCCCACAAGCCGTAACCTGTAATCACCCATTCACACAGGTTTTGTTGATAGTATTCGTAGTTAAATACACTAATGTTTTTGTTTTGTCTAAAAGATATTTGGAATTTAAGAATATGCTTTAGTGCCTTTACACTTAATGAAATATTCCCTTGACATTTTGTAATTGTTTGAATTTAAAAAACAGTTTGTACTTTTACATTTTAGTCATGTAAAAGTATAGATTACGGTTTGTATAAATACATTACATTGTCTTCTTTTGAATAAGATTTTATTTTGCAGTAAAATGAGTTTTAGTGTAAAATTTAAATTCCAAATATTTCAAATTTCTAGTTTGAATTAATGACTGAAACTTCCCCTCTATCTCACATATGAGCAAACAATGCTTGTTGCTATGAGCTATCCCATTTTACCACTAATTCAGATACTACAATGTTGTCACCAATAGTTATGCTGAAGCTGTGTAAATTCTAGTTATTCAAAAGTAGCCCTAATTGTAAATCTAAAATATAGAGATATCAGCTTTTCATAGAAGGAGGATGAACCTGTTTTCATGTGCGGCTGACTGTCACGGCCATTCTTGTGTGCTTTACATTCATTAGTTCAAAACAATAAGCACTGCCTTTTTAAACTTCTCTTTTTAATAGAAGTTTTAGTTGAGCATCAAGTATTAATGATCTCAACTTTCTTGTAATCAAATTCAAAATCTAGAAATGAAATTTTTACTAAAGGTGGTCACCACCAAAACTGAACTGTTTCGAAGACTGAATAGCGTCATTTTTGAAAACTATACATATATAGTTGAGTATTAATCTTTTATAAACTTTTTCCACAAGTAAAATGTAGCCCTTTATACATTTAGTTAGATCACAGACTTTTTAAATCTTATAAATGCCCATGAGAAATTATTTTAATTTAGTTTTATAGTATCTAAAAGTGGTACTGTAGTAAAATATGTACAAAAGGGTGCTTCACTGTCTGATTGGTTGTTTCATTGGACATTTTACGTAAAGATAGTTGACTTTTCTAAAAACATATGTCACCAATTTAACCAAGAAAGAAATTAATATCTGATCACTGTAGACAATTAATTTTCTTAACAAATTAAGAGTGGTGAGTAAAACAATAAAATACAGATTTTATAGGTTTCATTATGGTTAGAAAATGTACTTGTACTGGTTGATTTCAAGCCTTTTCTCATTTGTATTATTTTATATATATATATTATGAAATATAAACCATGGTACATTGTATTAAAATGTAATTATTGTAAATTGTTATAGTTTTATGGGACTGAAAATGCTAATTTTTTGTTTAATATTAATGCTTTGATTGTAATTGAGTTAAATGCACAAATTTTGCTCAAATTTTGAACTTGAGAAAATGTTATGTTTTTAAATGTGAATAGGACCATTACTAATGAAATTTAAGCTACTAATACTGTTGTACTCTAATTTTGTAAATTTTATTGTTAAGCAATTTAGAACATATTTTTGAAAATAAAAAGGTCACGATTAGAAGTTTAATTATAGTTTGTTATGGGGATTTATTTTTTCTTATTTTATCACTGTAAGTATTATGGGCATATTCCATTCATCTTGAGGTATAAATGCAACACAAATCCAATATTGTTGTCCAATTTATTTTGTGGCATTTTTATATTTTTTGTGAACATTATATACAAGGGTCCATGCTATCACTCTGTGATTTTATGGTGCAATGTTAATGTACTTAACATAAAATTACAAGGATCTAACTATTGGATAGTAAAAACTGTGCTTACAGATCACGTTTTGAAATTATATAAATGTATCCACCATAATATTTTAGTTCCAAACTATTTGTAAATTTTGTCTATTTACACTGTCTTTTGTGAATATATTCCTGTTAGTTTATTTGTACATTGTAATGTAAGTTGAATTTTTATAGTCATTTTTTATTTAAAGTATTTTATAATGCTTGAATATATCTAGTTTTGATCTCATATAAAATCATAACCACTAAAACCAAAAAGGATTTATTTACCAAATGAATATTAAAAGTGTAGGAGTTGTAGGATTTGCAAAATTTTAAGTTTTTAGCGATAGAATTGTTCTTGTAGCAATGTTTATTGTTATTGTGAGGAACAGTTGCGATCCGATGTTACAATTATATTATTGTTGTTTTAAAGCCATTATTCATTGTTTAGGTTATCATCTCTGTCAGAAATAAAAAAAATGTTAGTAAATATTAATCGTTGTCTGTTTTGCCTTGTTTAATTACGTAGGAATCGTGATTACAGTAGCGATGTGTATGTGGGCAAATGCCCAGTGGGCTGGATGTTTATAAATGGTCATTTGCAAGGAATTAGCCTGTAAAACCCTTATTACTTATGATTTAAGGGTAAATTAAATTATTAAATCATTAAATCAAGTATTTTGAACATAATATAGGCCATCTATATATTAATACGCCAGCAGTTTTCTTTTCACAGTCATAACTCAATAACGGCTTGATGGATTTTAAAGTTTGAGGTTTGGTTCATAATGAAGAGTTTCCTATCAATACTAGACAACAAAGTGTTTAAGAATAAATATTTAATAAATATTTAAATCTTTTTGTCTATGGTTAAATTGATTTACCTTACATCGTATTTTACTGATTATCATGTAGTTACAGTTCGATGTGATGAAGTGAATGTTTAAAAGTGATTATTCACAGGGCAGTTATCCGTTACATTACCATGTGTATCAATTGTATCAATATTCCAATTCCTTTATAGTGTTTTCTGTTGTTTGTTTAACTTTCTTATTTCATTTCAATTTCAAATCAAATGCCGCCAGTACGACGAAGAACTGTGAGTGGCTGGTGGGAACCCGAACATGACCGCTTGCATCAACCTCTCAATTGAACATTTGATGGGTTCATAGTGGTAGTACCACCGTTGTGATAGTCCAATCTCAGACAAATGAACCTTAAATGTTTACATTGTAGTGGCTTACATATTTTTAAGCAAGAAAAGACTGGCCGAGACTATTCAGTATGTACTCTTTGTTGCCATAAATGAAAGGTTCGTTTACCTCATTTGTGCAATTCACTACAATAAACTTCGGGTTCTTATTGGAAACTCCCAATCTGAAAATAGGACTGTGAGACTTATATCCAGAAATTATTTGGATTAAGTTCGTCAATTCAGTTCTGCCTTTACCATGGTCAGCTCCAAGCTTATTTAGATGAGAAAGTTCCACAGGGGATCTACAATTTTAAGATCCGTGACACGTTTTACCACCGAGTGGGTCCTCTAATTCCTCAAGAATGTGATGATCCTGAATACGCACAGATATATATAAGTAAGTACGACAATGTTACTAGAACCCAAAGGACCAGGCACAATTGTGTGTAAGCACAATTAAAAACAAATTCAATGAAAAAATATATGGGAAATAGGGTCACAATGCCAACCCATTTGCAAATCTTTGAAGACTGTGGCAGACATTATGTAGAGACAAGAGCTCCGAGGAGTCAAGTGAGATTCTTATGTACATAATAAGAGACAGAAGAAGTGTCTTCCCTCGCTACAATAGTGCTACCTGTGTAGATTTCGCAGCAATTTTTAAAGCTGAAAACAAAGCACCACCTGGCCAAATAAATCGTATAGTTTTTTCCAACACTAATAATGTTAAACGCGTATCCATTATAGATCTGTCGTTAGATCCACTTGCTTACCCTCTTATGTTCCCAACCGGAGACTTGGGTTGGGGCCCCTAATTTAAACACGCCTAAAACAGAACACATCAAAGAAATAATTTAACAATGCTAGAATAAGAGTAGCGATGGTTGGCGTCAAGAGAGGAATTGAGCTACATTAGGTCAAAAGCTCACTTTACAGTGTGTGGTTGACATCTACGTGCTCATAGAGTGCACCCGCGTACTATACATAAGAGATAACCAAAGCAATATGAGAGTGAATGTAAATTTAAATATTGTAGATTGCTTTTATATTTTTTTACATCATAATATTTTTATATTTCTATAATCAGTCATTAAATTATTTTAGAGTGACTCTTTGATTAAGGTCTTGCTGTTTATGTTTTTTGTTTATTTTTTAAACAATTTCAGTTTTGCTCGATTTCGAGCAAAAATATGGCTACAGCTGGTCCATATCTAGGTGTACTTCCGTATCCTAAGGTCAACTCACCATGTTCAGCCAATTACCGACACTTCTAATCAATCTCACATAAATGAGTGATTAGTTGAAACATTTAAACATAGACATAGACATAGACTTTATTTGCACAAAACATTCCATACATGTCATAACATTTAGAATAGGTGCATTGTCAAAATTAAATCCATACATAAAATATTTAACATTAAAACTTTTAACTTAAAATTAAACACTAAAAAAAAAAAAAATCTAAATTGTAGTTCTGTAAAAATCTTCAATTAAGTAAAAAGCCTTGTCAATAAGAAAATTATCTATTGTATCTTTAAATTTGGTTTTGCTTAATGACTTATAGCATGGCGGAAGCACATTGTACAATCTCAGCCCAGCGTACAATGGAGATTTTTCATATAGGGTCAAACGGTGTCTGGGGGGTTAACAAGGGATTTTGGTAGTAAATTAATACAGTGCATGTAGTATTTAAAAGTAAATATAGATTTTAATTAAAAATATTAAAATTCAAAATTACCAATATACTACCTTCTATAGTTGAAAATACAATATTTGTACAATTTAAAATAACAATGAAAGACAAATAGCCTATAAAGGTTTACATTTTGAAGAGGGGGTGTATTAAAATGTTCTAAATCAGGTATGTATGGGTACATAACATTAAAACAAACAGATTGATAACATTCAATCAATTATCATAACACTGTTAAGAAGAACATACTGAGCAAAGTAAAAATGAAGATAAACCTTAAATTAAAATATTTGGTAAAATATGAACAATTGTTAAACTTTGATAAATATACACAATGATAGGATAAAACATCCTACAAAATAATATATGAGTAATATATAAATAAATATATTACATAATAAATGCTATCTATATCATAGATATTTTCTTCTAAATATTCTGTATAATAAAATATAAATTTTCCAAAAACCTTCATAAATTTGCCTCTGATAACTAAATACATAATTAACTTATTTTAAGCGTGGGAACCTGAATCAGGCTGGGATTCATTAGAGTTAGGTTTTCTGGAAATTTGTCTCGGACGATGAATCTCTTCTCCTTGGGATCGATGACTGTCTCCAAGTAACCAAACCAATAGATCACCAGACCCGGGCCAAACCTGTTAAAGAAACAATGTGCAATAAAATTCAACAACACATATTTTTTTATTCAATTTTGGCATTAAAAAGCTCATATGATAAGTACTAGTAGCAAAAAAAAGAATAATAATAACTAGTGGTACGTATGAGGTACCAAAAAAGTTCATGAGTCCTTTTTATGCCCAAAAAGTGCATATATAACAGCAAAAAACATTATTATTTTCCTTCTTTCTGTCCAAGTAGTCCACAAGTTGACTAAATGGCGACTAAATTATTCTCATTTTCACACCGCAACTACCCACTCATATCCACTTCGCAATACTTTCAATTTTGAAAGACATCTAAATTATAATGCCATCAAACTGTTAAATGCTCTCCCTCTTCAAATCAAGTCCACATCAGATCTGGGATGCTTCAAAAGGCACTTGAGGTAATTTCTCGCGGGTAAAGGCTACTACAGTGTCCTCGCCTTTCTCGCTGACGGACAGTCCTCATGAATTTAAATGTTAATTAATATTCTAAAAGTTAGTTAATAGTTATTTTTAGTAAATTTGACTTGGCTAATGCATTTGTGATGTCAATCTAGTTAAATAAATGAGTTATTGAGACAGGAAAAGATAACTTGACATCTTGTAAAGAAATCATTAATTAACAGACACCGCTGGAAGCTCAACTGAGCTACATTAAATTATATTCTAAACTGGCTTATCATGGGAACAGGGTATCTTTCTTTTTGGTGAGTGTATTGAATAATCAAAGCTAATAAATAAATATCCTGTGCTAGAACCAAGGGTCATGAATATTTCTTCTCAGGATTTAATTAGTAACAAATCCCAAATTAACAGGTAAGCACTAGAGATGTGTTTGTTGTTTGCTTAGCCTAAGAACGTTATTTTATTTTTTTGTACAGTACAGTAGAAGTCTGATTATTGAGCTAAACGGGACCGTGATTACCTCGGGTAATCAAAAACTCGGATAACACAGCAGTAAAAATTATAGGTTATAATAAGACAAAAATTGTATTGAAACTGGAGAATACAGTTTATCATTACAGTACTGTAATAAGTGATTTATGATTAAATAAAAGGATATTTTTCTCTACTAACTCGAACCAAAAATTGATTTATTACCGGTGGAACTGTATTTTCAAGGCTATCAATAGAATGTAGTTGAATAAAACACCCACAGAGGTTTTTTTATAAACTAATAATAAAACTATCACTCCTTTCAAAATTGTATTTTTTCTTTCCTTGTTGACAATCATATTTCATGTAACATAAAAGGAGCTTAAATTTACAATAAAACATCTTTGCAATTTGGTTTGGTCTGCATATTCTATAAAAACAGGAGTGTTGCTGAAGTTCTAAATCCCTAAAGGTCTAATTAGACTTTGGGCATACAATTTGCATTTTGGACTTGTTGCTGAGGGTTTAAACGGGCAGTAGCAGAAGGTTTTAATCCCGGAGGGTCTAAAAGTACAGTCAATGACGAAAACTTATCCATTGTTACTGTTTTAGATTTGCGGGATTTATACCTTGGGCTCACAAGCTATATTTTGTAAATAAATGTATTTTAAAAGGAGAGTTGCTGAGGGACTAAATCCCGGAAGAATTGCGTTGCCCGAGTTTAAGGCTGTACATGCAGTCAATAACGCAACTAATTCTCATCATGTCTATTATTTTGCTAGTATGTTATTACAGATGGTTAGGCTAGGCTACAAATACTTTAGACCTTCCGCTACAGATGACAAAAAGGGAACGGTGGCGGAAGGTCTAATTCTCATTTTAGACCTTCCGCTACTCGTACAAAATGCAAACTATATGCCCAAGGTCTAATTAGACCTTCTGGGATTTAGACCCTCAGAAACTCTCATAAAAAAAAATTTAATTAGAAAATATAGGTTGAGTGCTCAAGGTATAAATCCTGCAAAGTCTAAAACAGTAACAGTGGATAAGTTTTCTTCATTGACTGTACTTTTACACCTTCCGGGATTTAGACCTTCGGCTACTGCCCGTTTAGACCCTCAGCAACTGATCCAATAAAAACTTGGAATTGACATCATCGCTTTTCATCAGAGCTAAAGATTCAACTAAGATCATTTTCAATCGATAAAAGGATGTCTATCTGTAGACTGTGTGAACCTCTCACCTGTTCCAGTAGCTGAGGTACTGATCTTTGGCATACTGGTCGTGTGTCATCTTGTCCCCAAACACAGCCTTACTCTCCACCCAGCTGATGATGAAGCCGTCAACAGCACAAGGTGTTTCCAGCTTGACGTCGGGAGTCTTGTCAAAGCCGCGTGCGCGAAGTTGCTCCTCCGTCCGGAATGAGAGACCCAGCCGAGCCACCTCACGCTCCAGCTTGGCCTCGTACTCCGACCCAAGGCAGCTGAGCGATAGCAGAAATATTCAATAAAATTGTAACCATGACAATTTACAACAAACTTGTTGTCACCCAATAATGTTATTAGCGCTTTAAGAATGTCAATCAAGTTGCTGCCAGTGAGCATAACAAATATTTAAAAATTCCTTTGATAACAAACCTTAAAAAGAAATGTCCCTTTTGAACATTGGGGTTCTTTTTGAAAACTTCTGTATATTTCTCTCAAAATTTTCCATCTCAAGTGATATCCTACCAGTACATTTTACTAAAGTCGCGTAAAAATAGTTCTTAATAACCAAATTTTGATTTGTTATATTTTTAATGAAATAAATATTTAAAAAGTACTCACTGTTTGGTGACATCTGATATCGGGCCGTACATGTTGTCAAACACAATGCTCTGAAATATAAACCACAAAAAAAGAAATCAGAAATAAAGTACTCCAACAGTCTCAGTTGTAAGTAATCCAAGTATGAGACTATAAATTCCAAATTATTTATTTATACAGTTTCAGTATAATCTTGGTGAATCAAACACTCGATAAATGTTGCAATAAATTCTTGATTCTTGTTCGTTGATTCACTGTTATGGCGGGGCTTTGCCGCCATTGGCGAACACCTGTTTATAGGTTTTCAGCACTCAATGTGTTAAAAACCTTTTGACTTGTGCCTAATACCGCTCCCAGAGCAAGTGCAAGCAAAGACAGGACTTGGCAAGGCAAGACAGAGTGAAATATGCTCCTAGAGAATGTACTGCTAGCGTAACAGTAGATAGATGGAAGTACAGATTTACTCACCAAAAACACTTCATACGCCAGGTCAGGATCCTGAATCTGAGTGGTGTCTTTGAACATGTCTTTTATCATGTTTTTTGAGGTTGCATTGAGATTATCTGTAAAGTAAAATGTTGATTCATTTTTAAACAAAAACACGTCAAGGGAATGAATTAGAACAAATTGTGTTCATAAAAATGTTTTGAGCCTAAGAAGAGCCTACTTGAAGTTGAGGAAGACAAGCAATTTAAAAGTCTGATCTACTTGATATGGAATATTCAGGTTTAACTCTCAATAAGAAAAAAGGTTTACATTGGGTAAGTGCTATTGTAATAGAAATCTTGCACTCTGGATTAAAAGGTTCAAAATAAAATCTTTTCTCTCAGTTCAAATAAATTCACAGCTAGTAGATTCACCAATAATTTCTAATTTTATATTCCTACAATAAAATGCTGAGTACGGTAGTCATTTATGGTTTTGGTTTTGTCAAAAGGGAGGATAGTTTCTTGAAAGAACAATTTAGCTTTAGATTCAGAGACAAATTTTAAAGTCATAGGCCTACCTTTTTTCTTTTTTAGGAGTAACAACAATTTAGTTAGTAGTAGTAGAGAAGACAATCAAATTATTTATTGAATCAGAGCAGCAGAAAGATGCTACTGGGGCCTGAACAGGCTGCTGAGCAGTAAACTATTAAGTAAGAAAACTAAAATAAAGATATATAAAACTATACTACAGGGTGCGGAATAAAAACCGATCTATTTTATGCAGCGCACTGTTCAGCAACAGGTCGTCTGAGAGTGGTCATAGAGCAGTGGTCACGAGAGCAACGTGCCTTTGTTATCGAGTCGATTTGAAAAAGTATTGATTCAGTCATTGCAACTCAGTGGCAGTTCCATGCATTCTTGTAATTAGGACAACATGGATTCCGTCAAGTAGGGACAATCATTTGATAGGTTACCAACTTTAGAACAACGTCTTCTGCATTCAAAAAGAAGCTGACTAGCCGTCCAAAGTAGATCGGACACCGGACAACTAACATTCGATAGAGTTTGTTCTGCTGTGGGAAACAGTCCTCGTAGGCCCGCCCGAAAACAAGCATCTTCTTTGATCATGTCTGACCACTCGGTTACACTAATTTGAAGTTCAATCTTAATTATTCTTATCCCTATTATAGATTAATCTGTTTAATTATGATGATTATCCATACAAATAATCGTGACAGAACCTCTACATGTCAACCTAATTTAAAGAATGCATGGAAATGCCACTGAGTTGCAATGCCTAAATCATTACTTTTTTTAAACGATTCTACAAACAAACGATATAACAAACGCGCATTGCTCAAGTGACCACTGCTCTATGACTACAGATAATGGCATCGTGTAGGCTTTCCAACCAACCTACCCCCACCACCCTCAGGCAGTGACGTAGCTAGGGGGGGGTCCTGGGGGTCCGGACCCCCCCCCTTCCGGTCTAAAATATAATATTTTTTTTGTTAAATTAAATGTAAAATTATATAATCATACTACTGTATTGACGTTGGTGTTGATTATTTTCAATGTCAAGAGGGCTAAAAAACCGTTTTAGGGCCTATATTTTTAAATCATCCCCCAGACCCCCCGGTCGGCCGACCCCCCCTATTTTGAAATCCTGGCTACAGTGTGCTACAGAAAATAGATCAGTTTTTTGCCGCACACTGTACAACCAATAATACTGTATGGCTGTGAAGTTTGGGCATTAATAAAGTATTCAAAAAGAATTTGCAAACAACTAATAAGAAAAATATTTGGACCTATTTATGAATAAATAAATAATTCTTTGTTGTCATGAATCAGGAGTGTGGAGGATAAGCAAAAATAGAGAACTGGCTGGGTCATGTATTAAGAAGGGATAACTCCAGCTTGAAAAAACAGACTTATAATGGTAGACCCAATGGTAGAAGACCCTTAGGAACACCATGTCTGCGGTGGAGGGACCAAGTGCTGAAGGTTGTAAGAAGATTGGGAGCAAGAGCGGAAATGACTGAAGATGGAGAAGAATGGGAGGAGGATTGTTGGCGAGGCTAAAAACCATCTTTGGTTTACATGGCCACAGGAGTAAGTAAGGCCTACCTTTCTCGCCTTTTTTACTAATCCTCTTCTCAAATGTTTCCTCCAACACCACTTTGGCTATGAGAGCTGGTGCGACATCGTAGAACCTGGCAAGTCTGATGATCAACCCGGGCTCCTCCCCAGCTTCTATACCTTCCCTATACCTGTAAGGAGGATTCAAACATTTAAGATTTAAATACATACAACAAAAGTTACAATAAGTGTTTCTTTGTCAATACCTCCATCCGAAAACTAGGAAAAAGTTTGAACTAAAGATAACTAAGCCAGTCGAAAGTATTGAAAATAGCCTATTTGTGTTTTCAATGAGAGGCACCCTGACAGCTTTGGCTCATTTTGCATGGCCTGTACAACTAAAAATCACTATTTCTTCCACACACAATTTATTATTTGATTTTTTTTTTAATTTGATCTGGTTTTATAGGAATCTAGCTGTTACCCGGACAATTTTGCCTTTTTTATAAATATTTTAAATCTACTAATAAATAAAAATGTGAAATGAATTATTTTGATATGGTAGGTGTTTGTTTATAAATTTAAACTGATTAGCACATTTCTGGATTAGTATTGAAAATAAATTCATGTTTTTAAAACCAAGAGATGTTCATTAAAAATGTTGTATGTTTTAAAAATCATCGGTGGGGACATTTTATGGTGGTTCATTTTCATAATACTGTGCCGCTAAAAAAAAATCACGATTGGCGAGTTAGCGTAGCGAACAAACTTCAACCAGGACGTGATTGAGCCATTCGAATGAGATAATCTTGAAAATTAAGAAGTTAAACGGGGCAAAGCCCGCAGGTTCCAGCTAGTAAATATATATAGCCTATATATAAATTTGAACGGATGGTGTTTTTGGCCTCTAGGGACCTCAAAACAAAAAAGTAAATTGGTCCCGGGTCCAGGTCTTACCATGAGTACCTACTACGGTAATAGCTTATTCCCTATATGGGAAATTCGCTAAAAATATCAAGTTTATAATATAAATTAGCTTTTTTCACTTTTTACTTCATGAGTGTCATTGACTTTAAAAAACGATCGGTGACACACAGAGGTGTTTTCCCGTACGTCTCATGGTAAGACCTAGATGTACTTTTTTGTTTTGATATCCCTAATCCTAGAGGCCAATACACTGTGTTTGCACTGGGCCCCACACCACCTAAGGTCAGCTCTGTTGATAAGTTGCCTATTTAGGCTATTGATATCTATTCTCTTTGTTTGTAAATTTCCTTATACTAGCGAACCTGGCGCACGTAATCGTGCGTAATCTAGGCATAGGAGAAGAAGGATTAATATTTATTTTTTACTTTTGTTATTTGGCATTTTCTGGTTTCTTGGTTTTGTTGTTAAAGGTGGAGATAAAATAGGTGGTTGTAAAAGGCCTAATTGAGTTCACATTTTATGTGCCGTTTTTGCAGTTTTTTTTTGTAAGTCAGTAAAAGATTCTCTTTTGATTAATCGATGATAACCTAAATAATAAACCAAAGCCCCTCGTTCCCAACACCAACTCTGCCTTAAGACTGGGACTTATTTGCCAGGCTGATTCCCAGTGAAAAAAAATTTTTCTTCTTAAGCTTTGGCCACCTTCAATCCTCGTCCAGACACACTATGTGTCCAAAACCCTAACAGCATGGCTCTCTTCCCCCTACCACCCTGAGCAATAGGGATAATAGGGATTTGCTCTAACCTTTCCTCTCCCCTCCATGGGGAAGTATTCATTCATTTTCTTTCTTTGTTTTTGTTTGTTTCTTTTTTCAATTTAAAAGCCTGTATGCCAGTATGTATCCTTGGTATCTATTTCCCTAGCTACTATCCTAAATGTCTCAATTGTTTCCTTGTCTCTCATCAAGGTTTATTTTCTCATCTCATATCTATACCTTTCCTATCCAAGACTTCTTCCTGTTCTCTCCTATTTGCCTCCTGAGGTGGACAATTCATCAATACGTGACTTGTGGTCTCTATTTTTTTGCGCAGCTGCATAACTCCTCTTCCCCCAAGTGAAATCTCCACAAATTCGCCTCGAAATGTCCCATGTCCTGTGACAAACTGCGTTTAATAATGGCCCATCTCCCAATCTTGTTCCAGTCTCCTTATGATGTTTGGCATGTATGAGAATGTTTCGCTTTATTTCTCACCTGCTCCCAGCACATTTGCCACTCATCTAATGTCTCCTCTCTTCTGGCACTCTTGCTTTCCGACGTAGTCCTACCCGAGGCCTTGTCTTCCAATTCCTAATCCTTTCTTCAATGAGCAGGTTGAAAGGTATGGCTCCGATCAAAACCCTAATCTTATCATGCAATACTGTGATGTATGATTTCCCTACTTTCAACAAAACTCTTCTTTGCATCGTCAAAAGTTTCCTTTTTGATCTTATCTTCCTAGCATCCTTACTCCAGAACTCGATTCTGAAAAGGATTGCCGGCTCCACACCCTTTGTACCGCGTCATCAAATACTTCAGTCATACCTCTATTGGCTCTAGCCTGTCCTGCTAATTTGACGAAGACCCCTTTCATTTTTTCGCACATTTCCTCCGATATGTTTTTCAAAAGTCATTCCTTTTACAGTCACTCCTTAATCAAGTCTGGCAACTCGTGGGACCCGCCAATCCTACCTTCCGATATCATCAAATATAATTTTCGGAGGTGAAAAACATGTTTAAAACTTCAATAGCTTCTGAACATTATTCTTGTGCACCTATCATAAATAGGTAACCATACAGAAGAATGCAGGTTCCAGCCCTTAACAATAGATAAAATTGGATAACAAATTATTGTTCCTTCGATACTAATATTCTCCACTCATGAAATAATATCCTGTTATTTAATTTCAGTAAAACAAAGATCTTTTAAGAATCACAACAAATAGTCTAACTGCTGTAGGCCTACTGTCAGTTGACTTTTAAATTCATTGAACCTTTAAAAACGTGTTTTGCAGTGAAACGCCAATTTTTAAACCACAAAAACCAAGTAGGTACATTTTTATTTTTTCAACAAATCTAATAAACCCTTATAGCTCATGTTTCCATTAATTTCAATTTTAGTATAACCAGCTGTTTAAAATATTAGTGTAAATTTCAAAGTACCGGTATTCATCTGTTCAAATGTAAACAAACATTTTCTCCACAAGAATAACATGGGAACTTTGAAGGCCACTGGGGCAGAGTCAGGTCCGTCCGAAGGGGGGGGGGGGGCGCCGCGCAGCGGCTATTTGTATTAAGATAGTATTAAAATATGTGAATGTGACTATTACTGGGGGGGGAGGGGGGGCCACGACCACGTTTGCTCCAGGCGCCAACCCTAGGGACGGCCCTGGGCAGAGTCCTGATGGAATTTCAAAGATTTTTTAATAGATGGCAAATCTACGTGCCACAGCCTATCCAACAACACCTTAAACTTGGTGATCGGATGCATAGCAGCTTCAAAACAATTATCAAACAATTTGTGTTCACCTACTAAATATATAGATTCTAAATAGTGGATCTATAGATAATGTAACACAAATATTAAATACAAAAGCCTAGCTTACAGTACCTTTTGATTACGTCCTGTTTGTTCTGCTTCACTCTACCATGGTTGGTCATCATCTTTTTCTGATACTTTGTGCATAGTATGCTTGCCAACGTGTGAGGAGGTATACTGGAAAATATAATGACACTAAGTCTTAAGCAATAATGTCTCGTAGTCTATCTTTTTTTAAAGGGCTAGGTAAATTTATTTTGTGTTAGAGAGTGGATTCCTGAGAGCCAGGAATTAAATTTATATTAAGGCCCGGCTTTGATAAAAATATAACCATAAACAAGCAAACGGGTACAGTCATGCAGAGAACCTACGATATTTAACGGGTGAAATATTAGTTTGATAACAATTTCATCGTGTTTTCATGCTATTTAGTAGGCAAACGATTATTTGTACCTATTGTAAATTAACATTTTAAGTCATCAAGTTTTTTTTCTTTTTCAAAAGAATACATTTACACACTTAAGCGAAGCAGTTAGGATAGATTAGTTCAGTTTGGATTATGATTTAGCTTATGATAATAAAAAGCAATGTACGTAACATTGATATGAACAAGTTAATAAGTTATGTTTTGTAGCCTAGTTAGTTAAAGAGATACAGTACAGTAAGCCTAAATCTACAAAATTCCAATTTGTACCGTGACACTGTGTGATCTTTTTCATGAGTTGGTAAGAAGGTAAAATTTTGTAAATACAGTTTTGCTTATTAATATGTTACCTTTACTAAACTGGGTTCTTTGGTATTATACGAAGGCCACCCTTATACTGCGCGCGGCGGCGGTTAACTTATGTTCGAGGTAGAAATAGAAAGTAGCCTACCGGTATGACTTATCTGGTACGGTATTGTTCTATTCATAAGGAGTTAGATAAAAAGTACAGATAACTTACCTAGGCCTAACAAAACTTATAGCCTAAGTTATAAAACCCTAATCCAACCACCTGTAGGGCCTAGGCCTAAATTATTTGACACTATATTTAGGCCACATAGGATAGCCTAAATTACTAAAATTAACTTGTAACTCTTTGAATCTAAGTACCTAACACAAACACCTAAGAGATCCTAATGTTGAATTAGATTTTTTATTGTCTTTAATACATGAAAAGACTTGGTTGCAATTTAGTTTATGCAAGGCCACACTAAAAAAACGGGCCGTAATGCTCGTCAAGCATGACATCACGATAAAAGACGGCAATGACGTAGGTATTTATTTATTTTCCAAGGAAATACTAAAACAAACATCACCATCTTACTCTCAAAAAAAAGTAAGATGGCGCCAGATGAAGACAGCAATCTTTGTAGTGTCTGCAAAAATGAAGTTAAATCAAATGAAGCAGGTCTTAAATGTGAAGGAAAGTGTAGTATGTGGTTTCACAAAAAATGTGTCAGTATTACAAAACTGAAATATGACAAAATCGTAAGTTTAGGTGAACTTGTATCTTGGTTTTGCCCTCCCTGCAAGAAGGTACTTGAGGATAGGCATTGCAATCAGGTAAATTCTTGTAAAGATCATGTCTCCTGTACTTCTTTAAAACGTCTTGAGGACAAAATCTCCAACATTGAAGACGTAAATAGTAATTTTTTGATAATGCTTCAAGATCTCACTAAAGAACTTAGGAAAGTAAACCTAACCTTAAATCAAAATGTATCCCCAGTGACTCCTTGCTCAGACTCAGAAATCTGCACAAATAGGTCATTTTCAGATGCTCTTAAGTCCGTTGCGTCAAAGGAAAGGGATTTATTTGACCAGAAAAACAGTGTGCGCGGTTCCTCAGGTCTTTCGTCAAGTGTTGATGTTGTCTCTTGCCCCAAGCCTAAGCCTCAGGCTAATTCAAAAATAATCTGCAAAGATAACGTGCGTAAACCTAGGCCTGACTGTGATAGTGATGGTTTCACCAGTGTTGTTTACAATAGGACAAAATCTCCCAAGTCTGTCGCTAGAAAGTCTGTTAGGCCTACCCGAGGCAAACCAAATAATAAAACTATGCTTATTTCTGGAAGCTGCAACACCAACAGACTTTCAGCAGCGAGTAGGCAAACCTGGGTTTATGTAACCCGGTTTGAATCTTCAACTTCTGTTGACGACATTAAATCCCACCTGCTGTCTAGTTTCGCCAATAAAAACTTTGTCTGTGATAAGCTTGAGACTAGGCACAGCTCATACGCTTCTTTCAAAATAGGGGTCCCTTTTGAACTGGAAAGTGAGGTGATGAAAGCCGAACTGTGGCCTGTGGGTATTCTCATTGGTAAATACTTCCCCTCTCGTCCTCGTCAAAACGGGGATGGTGTCCGTAATGTTGAAACCAATGGTTTTTTAGTGGATCCAGTGACCCAAAAAATAGACAGTTAAATATGGACAGTACACCAATATACGTAAGTAAGCCTAGGCCTAAGCCTATTACAACCTACTGTGTGCTTTCTCTTCTTTTTTTAAACATACAGGGACTTGGTGATAAGCAACCTTTGTTGGAGGAATTCACATTATTCCAGCAGTGTGACTTGGTGTGCCTCTCGGAACACTGGGTCCCAACATCAGGTAATGACTTTTTAACCTTGAACGGCTACTACCTCGTAAGTAATTTTTCAAGGTCTACCAGTGCCAGAGGTGGAACTCTAATTTTTGCTCGTGCTAATTTGAATTGTAGAACTTTGGACATCTCAGAATTTTGCATTGAAAAATCTATTGAAGCATGTGCAACAATAATTGATTCCCATAAGCTAATAGTAATTTCTATTTATCGCACTCCTGACAGTAATGAGTGGATATTTCTTGAACAGCTGGGGAAAATTTTACTTTTAGTTTTTAAATGGGATAAACATAAAGTGGTCATTGGAGGTGATGTGAATGCGCAATTTGATGTGAATTCAGACAAGAGGTCAGTTACTGAGCTACTCAACTTGCTTAGACAATTCGACATCTACCACCATAATGAGCTTCCAACTCGTAACAACGCCTGTCTCGACAATGTTTTTTCTAATGTTAAGAAGGATGATGTGTTTTGTGCTGTGGAAAACTTTCACTTCTCCGACCACAGTGGCCTCCTTTTTCGAATTGTATCCAACAGTTCTGATGAGCCTAATAAGATTTCTAACACTTTCACCTCAAAAAGAATTTTTTCTATAAACAACATGGAAATTTTTAAATTCAAACTTAGCACAATCAATTGGCAACACATATTTGAAACCTTGGATTGGCAACAACATGATTACACAGGTAACATTTTCACAATTTTCTTTGATAATTTATTGCATGTGTTTGATGAGTGCTTCCCTCTTCATAAGTCCCGTTCTAGGCCTAAACCACCTAAGAAAATCAACCACACCTGGTACACATCAGATCTTTCTAGGCTCAGAGAACAGGTAACATGTGCATACGATAGTTATAAGATATTTAATAATGATCTATGTAAATTAGTATATAAGAATATTAAGTCTGAGTATAGGAAAGCAGTCAGAGAAGCAAAACTCAAATACAATGCCAGTTTAATTGACAGTTCGGACAATAAATGCAAAGCCGCCTGGGCTCTTATCAAACAAAATTCTCAATCGAACTGTAAAACAAACAATGTCCCCATTGACCCAGATATCCTCAATAGTTTTTTTATTAATTCTGTAGCTGATATTAGAAACAGCATTAAGAAACCTACCAACTCTTATGACCAATTTTTAACCAACATGACTCGTAAGAATATCTCTTTCAGTTTCTCACCAGTTAGTTGTGTTGAAGTTGCTTCGATTATATCCAATATGAAGAACACCAAAACCCAAGACTATTATGGGTTTTCTAACTGGCTAATAAAAGAAGTTGCTGAACATATTGTAGTGCCTTTAACCCACTGTATAAACGTCTGTCTTTGGGAAGGGGTTTTTCCAGAGGGTTTAAAAATTTCCAAAATTTGTCCAATTTTCAAAAAAGGGGAAAGAGACAGCCCAAGCAGCCATCGGCCAATATGTCTAGTACCTGTACTGTCCAAGGTGCTAGAGCATGTAGTATACAATCAGCTGACTAACTTTTTTGAATTAAACTCACTTTTCAACAAACATCAATTTGGATTTAGAAGTGGACAGTCCACTATGGATGCAATAGGTTCCATGGTTCATGACATATTGAATGCTTTTGAACAAAAAGAATATGCCTGGGCGACCTTCATTGATCTCAGCAAAGCGTTTGACTGTGTCGACCATGATGTCCTGCTCCATAAGTTGGAATTTTATGGTGTTCAAATTAATGCTTTAAAACTGCTGAAGACATATCTTTGTAACCGAAGACAGATGGTTTGCTGTGGGGGTCGGTGGTCCGCAGTTGCCTTAAGCAACTGTGGGGTACCACAAGGCTCTGTCTTGGGCCCTCTGCTATTCTTAATCTCTATAAATGATCTTCCATCCAGTCTCAAATGTAACACATACCTTTATGCTGATGACACAACTTTGCTTACACACAGCAGAGATTTAGAATCTCTTGAGCTTGAGGCAAAAAACTCAGTAAAGGTAGCAGCAGAATGGTTCTCTGCGAATAGTTTTCTGTTAAACGATGAGAAAACCCAAACTGTTGTCTTTGGACTTCGTAAAATTCCTGAAGCACAATGTGATAAGGTCAAAGTTGTTAAGTTTTTGGGTGTTTATGTGGATCAACTCCTGTCATGGTCATATCATGTTGAACATCTCTGTACTAGACTAAGTAGATTGACATTTCTTTTCAGAAAACTCAATGATGTTGTTCCTTTTGACTATATAAAAACTGCCTATTTTGCACTTTTCCAATCATCTCTTAATTATGGAATAATCTTTTGGGGCAGCAGCCCTTACATCACTGATGTTCTTTTAATACAAAAAAAGGTGATCAGGATCATGGAAAATGCCAATCACAAGGAACACTGCAGACCAATTTTTGTAGATTTTAAGATTTTGACCGTTGTTAATTTATTTTTATATGTTGACTAGTTTTAAGAACCTGAAATCCCACACTCTTAGGGGTGATGTACACAAGTTTAATACTAGGAATAGAGGTAAAATTGACATCCCTTATGTTAGACTTGAAAAAATGAAATCTTATTATGAAGTACTGGGACTCAAATGCCTAAATAAACTCCCCAAGGAAATACTGTTATTGAACAACAAAGCCTTCAAAAATAAAATTCTTCTGTGGCTGACTGTACACCCTTTTTATGGGCTGGGAGAATTTTTTGAATGTTCAACCAAAGAAATCATAATCTAGTCACTGCCTTGTTCTAAGTATTTTTTTTTCACTAAATTTTATCTTGTTATCTATTTTTTCTGTAAGTATACCGTAGTCTTCACTGTGCCATCTAAATGACCTTTGTATCTATTTGATTTTTTTGTCCATGCCTTATTTGTTATGTACTGTAATTTATCTTTGACTTGTGTTTTTACAGCATGTATTCAACTTTTTTGACGTATCCTAATGCATGTACATGTCTAATGGAATAAAATATTGATTCTGATTCTGATTCTGAAACAGCTGTTCACAAACAGAAAACATTATGTCATTGCCATCTTCTATCGTGACGTCATGCTTGACAAGCATTACGCCCTGTTTTTTTAGTGTAGCCTTGGTTTATGTCCTACTATTTTACATTAAAACTACCAGCTGATGAAACTGTTCCAAACTATAACTAACCTTAACCAAACATGCAGTAGCCTATAGCATAGACTAACCAACACAAGTAGACTTCTCATCCCATTGTAAATTTTGAAGCACGTTTTTCGTGTCTTGTTCATGTACGTGACACAAAGGCGCTAGTGTTGACGAAACTTTGTTTCTATTATTTTAGGGTTAATTTCTTGATTTGTGCTTTACTGTTTGGTTATATAACTAGGGGACAAGTTATTGTTTATGATTAGATCGTATTATTTGGTTAAACGAGGTTTTAAATAGCTGTAATAACGGGAAACAAATTGTAAACAAAACACGACCTCTACAGAAAACCGGACAGAACTACCAATAAAATTGGCTTCAGCTGTTCCATAAGGATGGGAAATCTACTAAGGGAGTAGGCCTATGTTTTATCTGCCTATAGTCTATGTGAGTAAATGTAGGACAGAAACTTAAGTGCGCAACCAAAGACTTAGTAGGGACGGTAACAGTAACTCAGTGCATTGTCTCTTACTTACAATAAGTTTTAGCATAGAGACTATACCTTAGCACAGAAAACGTACTACTATAACCCAGAATGTCAAGCATAGCAACGCTGGTGGCGCTGCCTACGGATTGACAGGCAAAGCTCTCTCAAACCGCTTAATGCTTTTTACCATGCGGTTGGCATTCTGGGTTATAGTAGTACGTTTTCTGTGACCTTAGCCTAGTTAAATGTTAGATAACTTACTTTGGGTGGATCTTAATCATTTCAAATAAACAATCTCTTGACAATCCATTGTAGGTGTTAATGAAAAGTACAATCCTTTTAAAAACGTTAACTTCCATTATGCTATGCACAGCTAAACTAGGCCTATATTAGCTTGGCATACAATGATAGGCTACAATACAATTTTAGAACTTTGAAAACATAGAAAATACATCCTAATCTCCACTAATCTTATAAACAAACACACGTTCTGCAAACAAATATTCCAAAAACCAAAGTTCAAGAGTTAGTCAGTCTTAAAATTGATTAGGGCCTAGGACTATCCCAACAATTTTGTATGAATCATATAAGCAAGACTATCGACTATCAATACTATATTTATAGTATCAGTATCATCAAGTTAACACCAACAACAACAACCCAACCTACTCAAGTAAGTAGAGTAGAGTAGACCTAGACCACTGAGTTTGAAATGTAAACAAAAACAAACACAAAACGCAACACAACACAACACGCAACGCAAAGGTCTGTCAACTCCAACTGCAACTGGCTGGAACTTGATTCCAGTGTTGCCATCCAACCTCTTTGGTCTTCCTCACCAAAACCAACAGAGATCCTCTTTTTTACTAACTTGAACTTGCAAAAATTCTAATAATTACTCACAGGATCCTCTAATAATTATTACTGTTACTAGGTGAAACCCGTCGAAATCGACGGTTACTTTTAAGGCTAATTCATCTAACTGCGATAAATTGAGTGAAATTATACATATTTTGAGCATTTAGCATTGATTAATTTCACAAAATATGGACACGGCTCAAATGGGCACCGTGCCCTTCTGCACTTGTATTATTTTGTATTGTATTACACAATCGAAAATTTTTCCAATGATTGAAAGCATGTATGACAATAACCTATGATGATCTGTCTAGAAAAATATGATAAAATATAGGGAAAAGGTGTGAAAAAGGCAGACACCAACCCGTTAAATAGATATAAGATAGTTCAATAAGAAACAATTGTAGGAGTTATTGTGATAAAAGGACTTTCCAATGATTTTGTAATGGATCTTTTTATTGCAACACAAATGATACAGAGGAAAATCAATTTTAAAATCAGAAAATAACTTTGCAAATACTTCTTTTGGACGGTTCAGTAACTCCCAATAAATGTGTGTTGTTTAAAACACAACTAGTTGCTCTGCCCGTGCTTCGCTACGGGGTGAGGATGCAGAAAAGAATCATTTGGTTTTACTTTAATATACTATAAGGTACAGTTACAACACACTTACCAGGAAACATATAGGCAAAGGCTCAATCGTACCTATTGATTATTTAAATGAATATATCTTAATGTATTACAGTACCATCATTTTATATAGTGTATATAATTTAAAATATATGCAAAAGTATAACTCATTGACCACATGGCACCAAGAAACTTCTCCTTGTAAACAAATTAAATTAAATAGCAGAACAGCATGTCTGACAACAGCTGGAGTTTCATAACAATGTTTGTTTCCCATGTCAATCTTATGGAGAAATACAAAACTTTAAAGGGCCCCAGGGCCTAACTCTCTAATTATTTCCCTATAAAAAAAGTTTCCTGCACAACTTCACGTTACGCTCTTTCCAATGACACCAAAAACATGTCAATCGGTTCTGTAGTTTCGGAGGAGTAATTGTCACAAAAAATCTGCTTGCGTATTAAATAAGTACTAGAGGTCGTCCAGTGGTCGAAACTCGACCAAAAATATGTAATGTACTCACTTATCTATTTTCACCCCACACTGTAAATAAAACATGTGATTGGAGTTTCCTCCATTTGTTTTGATTTTCTGTTTATATTTCGTTGTTATTTCGTAACCAGCATAGCAACGCATAAGATCCATTTTAATTTTTTCAAATTTTTAAACTCATTTTTTGTGCTTATCTTTGAGCCTATTTAAATTTATAAAGGGATTCTGCACACCTACAGGAAAATAGCTTTCCAACGGTATGCGTAGATTTTCCCTACGATGCACACGAGCTGAGAAAAAAGGTTTTAAAGAAACATGCTTGCCTATTAATATATAGATAGATAGATAGAAGATAGATTATAAAATTAACAGCTGTTTTATTAAAAAGTATTATCCACATGACCAAAATGTAAACAAATCTGTGGAGGGATCTTTAAAGGCTTCTAGGACAGAGCCCTAAGCGAATTTAGTTCGTTTTTCTTTTGATAACTCATCTACAGACCAAGACCTTTCTTTGGACACCTCTACCAAGTGTCTACTCCCAGCCGTTCTCTCAAATTAGTGGAGACAAAGTTTCTAATTAAATAATTAGATTCCACCATGTTAATCTTATGGGAGAAAACCCAACTTTGATGGAAGATCCTGACCAAACTAATAAAGATATAAAAAAACGAAAAACACTTTGCAAAACTACAGATCAGGGCAATTTTTTTGACACTTTAATCATCAAAATCGGTCCAAAAATGAGGGAGGAGTTCTGTTCACAAAAATCGGCTTAGCGTATTATATATATCTAATATATAAAATTCTCGTGTCACAGTGTTTGTCTGCAAACTCCTCCGGAACGACTTCACCGATCGTTATGAAATTTGGTGTGTCAATTCTGTAGGTATGCGAATCGGACGTAAACTATTTCCCGTTTCGAAATTCTTAAAAGGGCTCCGCCCCAGTGGCTCTGGAGTTTCCCATGTTAACCTTAAGAGAAATGGAATTAATGAATCTTAACAGCTGTTTCAATTAAACAAGTTGGTTCTGTTCTATGATGTTCAATAGCATTAAAGTTACAAGGATTACCAACAGGGTGCAGCACTATTATTTCTTTTACATTTATGACAACAGCTAATTTGCAACCAAAAGGTGAGTGAGCGTAGCGAACGAACTTCAACCTGGAGGCGAGTTAGCGTAGCGAACGAGCTAACCTGAAGGCAAGTGAGCGCAGCGAACGAGCTCCAACCTAAAGGTGAGTGAGCGTAGCGAACGAGCTCAAACCCAAAGGTGAGTGAGCGTAGCGAACGAACTTCAACCTGGAGGCGAGTTGGCGTAGCGAACGAGCTAACCTGAAGGCAAGTGAGCGCAGCGAACGAGCTCCAACCTAAAGGTGAGTGAGCGTAGCGAACGAGCTCCAACCCAAAGGTGAGTGAGCGTAGCGAACGAGCTCAAACCCAAAGGTGAGTGAGCGTAGCGAACGAACTTCAACCAGGACGTGATTGAGCGATGCGAACGAGATCATCTTGAAAATTAAACGTAACGGTACTTAAATTATAAATAGTCAAAGGCAAGACAACGTCTGCCGGGTCGGTCTGTCTTAGGGGAAACCTATAACTTAGGCGATACGAAGTTCGCCGGGTCAGCTAGTAGATTATAAAATCCTTTATATTTAACCCTATATGAATTCAACCTAATGTTATTTCATTAGACTTAATTTAAAATCAATTAACTGAAAACCCAAAACAATGATTTACAGTAATATATTTTATCTTTCGCAGTTACGCACTGATCCTCTTACAACACATTTTAAGGTAAGGTGCATATGAGATATATGGCACAACCATGTGTAGGGTTTTACAAAATGAAAGTTCCAATGTAGTATGAGTAATTTGAGTATGTTTTATGAGTATGTTTTGACTATGGTAATGGTAGTATTCACAATCCAGTTCATATCCAATATCCATGCAACTTTGATTCTCCTCTACTCAACAGGCCGAGGCCTGGTAGAATTGGCAACGTCGCAAGTAGTGTTGTATAGCGCTATATGCACGGTCTCCAAAGGCGGCCGTGGCTATATGTCCCATAAGATAACATGGCAGACCATTGTGATAAACAGATTATAACTGGAGTCACTACTCTCTGGTTAAACATTAGAGAAATATGTGCCGCTGTTTTTGCAGGTTTGTTTTCGGTGTTTCGTGTTGTTAAGTGTAATCGGTTAGTGGTAGGTGTGATGCTGTCAAATTCCAATTCATTCTAACCTAACCATGTACCTATTTATTTAGGGTTATCCGTTATTTCATGTACTTGTATCAAAAACTTATTTAAGTTATTGCACGTTAAAACCTGTGTATTTAAAGTTGTTTTTGAATCATTATAATTGTTTTTGATAGTAAATAGGCCTAAATGCTATCTTATTTACCTCTTTTCAAGCTATGATTAATGGTGAAAATAGTCAAGTTTCCTGGTTTGGAGATATTGGTTCAGTCTTAGGTTTTTAGCCCTATGGCATTTGATTTAAGAACGACCATCGGTTTATACTCTTGTTAAAATGAAAATGGGTTGCTTGTAAAATAAATAAATAAACTTATTTTGCAATCATAATGTTGTTGACATAGGTCTATTTTTGTTTACTCTCAACAAAACAACAGGATGACGCCATCTTGATCTTGCCTTTAATTTGACAAGACCCACCAACCGATCACACGGCCGCACAATTTGTTTTTCAGGATTAATTTTGCCAACAGTGTCATTTAGAGGCTTCTGATTGACTATAACGAAGGTTTAGTAATTGAAAAATTATTTTTGTTCATAGAATAAAATTATAAATGCCTCAAATTCAATTTTATATTTTTTTATTATGAAATTAAACCGTCATAACCTAACCAAACCAACCAAACGTGCTGACAATGAACAAATCTAATGAAGGTTTATTAATCGAAAAAATAGTTCTGTTCATAAAATAAAATTATAAATGCCTCAAATCCTATTTTATAATTTTTTTATCATAAAATTAAACTATCATAACCTAACCAAACTAACCAGACTTGCTAATAATGAAAAATCAAATGAAGGTTTAACCGAAAAAAAATATTTTTGTTCATAAAAAAAACTATAAATGGGTCTAATTCAATTTCATAATGTTTTAATTATAAAATTAAACCGTCATAACCTAACCAAACCAACCAAACTTGTTGATAATGAAAAAAATCCAATACAAAAAAATAGTGCTACGGGTGGGATTCGAACCCGGGTCCTTCGGATCATCAGTCCAGGAATTTATCCACTACACCACCGAGGCCGTTGGCATCCACCGTATCGTCGCGGTAATGATGTTCCCTCAGCCAATCAGAAGCCTCAAAATAATACTGAAGGCAACACTAATCCTGAAATAAAAATTCAGCCACACGGCCGACGGTGATCTCTGAAACAAAAGCAGCAAAAACAGTGGTACGTTTTTTGAGCACAGAGTGGTTACAGTACTCCCATTGTGGAAGGAAAGTGTCAACACCATTCTCCTGATTAATATAAAATAAACCAAAAAAAGACGGATAACCACAATAAGTGAACATTGGGGCCTCATGAATTTTAATCAAGGCCGTCACATTTGTGACATTTAGAAAAAAAAAAAAAAAAGGAATACTCCAATTATTATTATAGCTCAGCGTGGCAGACAGGTGACACCAGCCTTGCA